ATTGTCAATGAAAATGTAACCCAGGATCAAAGATCCAGAGCTTGGTGTAAGAAAATCATCACAAAAGCTGAAAAGTGTAGTTTGTTTAGATCCAACTCTCCTGTTTGCCACTTCAAATCATATTTTTATTACTGTTACTAGATGCAGATAAAGCTCATGGAACAAGTTGTGGCTGGTCTTGAACATGACAGCCCCGGAGGTGGCTCTGTCAAGGAGCTTGTTCACATCCTTCCTCAACTGTAAATCCAGTCCATCCCAGGCAGCCTGCACTCATGGGTCTCCACCCTTCTGTGCAGTGTGACCCCTAACTGGCCTGGAATCCTGGGCTGGTGTTCAGGCTCTCCAAGACTTTTACCCATCTCCATATGTGGAGCACATCGTCCAGCACCTTCCTGCCCAGGACCCCTGGTGGAGCAAGGAGAGCTTTAGAGCTGCTGGGGGGGCGAGTTGGGGGGTTGGGGGGTTGTGGACCCCAATTGTTCCGGGAGCCTAATCTTTAGCTTGGAAGTTAAAATCCTGGTCACTTGTGAGTATGTGCTACATGAGACAGCGTCTTTTTCATTTTTTAACAGTGACTTCCATTCGTTCTTTGTTCTTTGTGCGAAGATGTTGCAGTTTATACATTATTGAACAAGCTGTATAGGAAGTCATTACTTGGTGAAAAAATGTTACTTAGAATCACGTAATACAGCATGCCAGCAATCGCAGAGATTTTCTGATGGTCTCATTCTAGATATTCTCATCCGTAATACGATTCATGCAGAGCACAGTGCAGCAAAGCCTCCAACCAAAACGCTCAAGCACCAAATAAAATCTGTGAAGTTGGATTTTATGATTAATGGGAGAATGGAAAGAAAAGCCCATCATTTGAAGTAATGTCAAATCTTGCTGAAATACCCAGTACTCCCCCATGCTTCAGGTCCCATGTAGCGGGGTCTGGAACTGCCTGGTATCCTGTATGTATCCAGCTCCCATACTTAAGAGAGAGGGTGTTGGGAAAGGGGTGTGGCCCAGCGGGGGCTGCTGCTCTTGGGCTCTTCTTTCTGTCCACAGCCCAGGCTATCCCAGGAATTCATGATTGGGCCAAGATGAGCAGGCCTTATGGGAAAGTGTGTTCTTCCAAAATATGGCACGGAGAAGGTGTGAGTAGAAACACTGGTTAATGAGGGCTTCCAGTCCACCACGTTTGGTTAGTTACTGTTTACTTATAGTGGGTAAAGATTGCCTGAGACTTTGCAGAAGAGTGTGACGATTTGCCTCTCCTGCTGGGAAAATGTGTAAAGCTCTAAGAGAAAGAAAAATCCCATTATCTTTGTTAAAAAATCAAAAACACACATTGGAATTCAAGGTGCTTTTGCTACAGCTGGGAGAAGTAGATGGTATGACTTGAATGAAAGAAGAAGAAATAGAGCAGGTGTGTGGGCAAAATAGCCACAGGAAAGGGGGGAGGCTGTGGAATTCCTACTCTGCCTCCTTCCCTAGAAGGTAACAGGTTTCTCTTTAAATTAGAGAGATGTTGCTTGGAGCGTGGACACTGTGCGGTGTTTTGGGGCTTGGGGCTAGGCGGGCACAGCCATCCTCTGAGACGTCCGTGAACCACACTGCCTGTTCTGCATTCAGAGATTTCCCTTTGAGCCTTTGAGATCTCATAGCTGCCACATGGCAGTGGCCTCGTGGCCTCATGGTTACTTGTGATACGTTTCTTATCCCAAATCTTCACTCCCTGAACCTCAGCCCAGCTTCCACCTAGAGACGCGGGCCATTTCCTTTCCCTAGGATCAGAGGGAGCACTCATCATGGCTTTAGAGGGTTTTATGGAAAGTGAGGATAGACTTTTGACACTCCACAGACCTCATGCATTTACCGTAGAAATCATGGTACAGGGTCTTCTGATCCATGCTCATGGATTAAATAGACCTTTATTGGTGCGCGAGTCTGCACCACTTCACTGGCTGTATGTGTTGGGCCAGTTCCCTGATCCCCCTCAGCCTCAGTTCCCCCCCTGCAGAAATGGGGGGATTCTTACTTTGTTACAGGACTGTTGGGAGTGTTCAGATCATGTAGGTGTCAGTAAGGTCAGGTTTCTCCCAGACACCTGTCTCTTGAATTTCACTGCCTCTGCAGCTACATGTGACAGTGCTCCCATGGAATAATGGTTCTCAGGTGCCAGAAGCTCGCCAGGCAAGCTTTCTATTTTGGTGGCCATCTCGCACGGGTAAAGTTGTTGCCAAGACTGTTCAGAGGACTTTGGCCCTCTCCTGGTAAAATACATGTCTGAGAAAAAAAGAAATTCCAAGCCCTCACTCAGAGTAGCAATTGTTATTCATAGAGCGCTCCCTGTGCCTTATATTACAGTCTGCATTTAGGTACCTGTTAGGGGCTGAATTATGTCCCCCAGAATTCATATGTTGGAGTCTTAACCCCTAGTAAGTCAGTGTGTGACTAGACTTGGTAAAGGTCCTTTAAACAGGTCATTGAGTTAAAATGAGGTCTTGGGGGGGGGGTCCCAGTCCAGTGTCACTGGTGTCCTGTAAGAAGAGGAAATTAGGACACAGACATGCAACGAAGGGAAGCCCATGTGAAGACACAGCAAGAAGGTGGCCATCTGCCAGCTAACGAGGGAGGCCTCAGAAGGAAACAACCCTGCCGACAACCCTGATATTTTGACTTCTAGCCCCCCGAACTGAGAGAATATCAGGTTCTGTTGTTTACGCCCCGTGGGCTGTGGTACTCTATGGTGGCAGCCCCAGCACACTGACACAGTGCCACTCTCTAAGGTCTAATGCTGTCTCTTCTGCTCATCTTGACACCTTTCTGTGCCGATGAGTATTCTGAATCCTGCTCTTCTGTACATATTTTCTCAAGTAGCTTTCATTACTCACAAATTTGAAAGGTCTATTAGAAAGTTATTTATAGGAGCGCCTGGGTGGCTCAGTTGGTTAAGCGTCTGACTCTTGGTTTTGGCTCAGGTCATGGTCTCAGGGTCGTGAGATTGAGCCCCATACCGGGTTCTGTGCTCAGCAGGGCGTCTGCTTGAAGATTCTCTCCCTCTGCCCTTCCGCCCCTCCCCTCACTCACTCACACACACACACACACACACACACACACACTCTCTCTCTCTCTCTCAAAATAAATAAATCTTTTTAAAAAAATGTTATTTGTAAATATTATTTCTTGAAGTCTTGTTACCAGTAGAAATTGTCCTCTGCCTGGTCATTGCTGCCTTAGCATGCCGACTTCTTGATGAGGCTTAGAATACCTTGGTGCCCGAGCCTTCTGGACAGAAGTGTGCTTTCATGAACGGTCTGCCTTCTGGATTCTGGAGCTAGTGAACCACCACAGTGCTCTCTCACGCATAGCTAAATAAATGTGGGTTTGAAATCACATGTGAGAGGATTCATTTGAAGATTTAGAGGTTTATGTTTTCATGTGAAGTGAGTTAACTTGTAAGTAGAAGTCTAAAATCTTAACTTGGTTTAATATCCTGGTTTACTTTCGTATTTCCTATATGCTTGAATAAAATGTTGTATAAAAAAACACACAAAGAAGCCATTTGTTTAAAGAATTGGTATGTTCGCCTAAAAACCTTGTGAACAATCCCTTCACATCGCTGTGCCGTCCGAAGGCCTTTCAGTGGCTGGCCCCCGCTGGAGGCACTGAGCGGGGCTGCGGAGTCTTAGACTAGGGGTGAGCCTGCTCTAGGAGGCAGTGTGCAATACTCCAGAGTAGAGGATGATCACAGGGCAATGTTTTGTTCCTCTTGAACTCCTGCCCATTAACACGAGAGTAGAAGCAAAGGTAACTCTTAGGATCATTCTGTCTTTACTCCATTTAAAGGAAGAAAATGAGAGGTACAAGCTACCCATAAAAGTGTCATGGGGAGGGGAGGGGGGGAGAATCTGCAAATGGCCAGTTTCCATACCATCAAAATCTCCACATTGACCAAGTTAGGAGGTGGTGCAGAGCTGGTGGGTGGCAGCCATCTATTAAGAAAAGCTGGGGAGCATGGCCCACCCTACAAGTCTGGTGGCACACCGCAGCTCTGAGCGTTGATGCATCCTCCTCCCCTAGGCTCACTTCTCAAGAAGGTTCCAGAATTCTCTGCATTCTACCGGGCTGAAACATTTTGCCTTAGGGCTTTTCACACTGTTTTCCCCATGCACAGGAAGAAGTTTCACACTGCAACTCAGCACTCAGTCCCTTATGTAACTGAAGCAACAGACTATGCTTGATGCACTTTGAGATTTTCTTATTCCCTTAAAGAAAACCAAAACAACTCAACACACACATATAAGATGGTCACAATCCATTCAGTTGATTTTATGATCCACTAGTGGGTTTTGAATCACAGTATGAAAAATTCTGCCTTAGACTTAACAGATCAACTAATTTTTTCTAATTGGCTCATCACAACATGTGGGAAATGAGTCTCTTGTTTTGAAAGGACAGAATTGCAGGAAGAGAAGGGAAGGAAGGTATTGGTTTGTACCCAGTGGGGCCAGTCTGCTGCCAAGCAGCCCTGGGAGGGTCTGGAGTGTCCCTGGAGTGGTGCAGGCGGTGGGCTGGCAAGGTGGGAGCAGGGCGGACAGCTCTGACCGCTCCTAGACTTGGAGCACGTCTGAGTTCATCAGTCCAACTTCCCTCTGGGTACAAGAAGGCCGAAGACATCCTGTCTAAGCCTTTCTACCTTATTTTTCTCTCTGAGGGGCACAGGAATTTTCTAAAAAGTATCATCCTTCAGAAGGAAACTAGCTTTCTGCTGTTTTGTTATCTTTTTGCGCTGCTAGTACTCTGGTATTCTTTCAGAAGTGAATGAGAGAGAGGGGGTGTCGGAATTCCCAGCTTTTGCCAAGGCGCACCTCACCTGCACCTCCCTTTGCCTGGCAGTGGCTGTAGGGTGTGCCCACGGTAGCCCCCGTGTGTTGGAGGGATGGGGAATCGTGTCCAAGTGCCAGTGATGCCCCCTGCGTGCCCACTGAGCCCTTGCTCTGTCTCCACAGGCCTCGGCAAGACCAAGAGGAAGACGAGTGCACGGGACGCGTCCCCGACCCCCAGCACGGATGCCGAGTACCCCGCCAACGGGGGTGGCGCCGACCGCATCTACGACCTCAACATCCCTGCCTTCGTCAAGTTCGCCTATGTGGCCGAAAGGGAGGACGAGCTGTCCCTGGTGAAGGGGTCACGTGTCACCGTCATGGAGAAGTGCAGCGACGGCTGGTGGCGAGGCAGCTACAATGGGCAGATTGGCTGGTTTCCCTCCAACTATGTCCTGGAGGAGATGGACGAAGCGGCTGCCGAGTCCCCCAGCTTCCTGAGCCTGCGGAAGGGCACCTCCATGAGCAATGGCCAGGGTGCCCGGGTCCTGCACGTGGTGCAGACGCTGTACCCCTTCAGCTCGGTCACTGAGGAGGAGCTCAACTTTGAGAAGGGGGAGACCATGGAGGTGATCGAGAAGCCCGAGAATGACCCTGAGTGGTGGAAGTGCAAAAACGCCCGGGGGCAGGTCGGCCTAGTCCCCAAGAACTACGTGGTGGTCCTAAGTGACGGGCCCGCCCTGCACCCCTCGCATGCGCCGCAGATAAGCTACGCGGGCCCTGCGTGCAGTGGGCGCTTTGCGGGCCGAGAGTGGTACTACGGGAACGTGACGCGGCACCAGGCCGAGTGCGCCCTCAACGAGCGGGGCGTCGAGGGTGACTTCCTCATTAGGGACAGCGAGTCTTCGGTAAGTGCCCCGGGGTGGCCGAGGTCTGCCCGCCGCAGTGCGCAGCTGTGTGTGTACATCGCACCCCACGCTGGTCGGCACCGTTCCCTCTCCACACACTGCGCATAGCCAAAGAATGTTTGGCCATCCCATTAGCCTAGAGCCCCCCATATTTGGGGCTCCAGTTAAGCTAGAGGAATGCGATTTGCCTGTAAACCCGCATAAGGTTGCTGCTCTGTAATAGACTTAAGTCTGTGATGGGTGTAGGAACCCAGCTGGGGAAGGTGGCCATCACTCTCCTGCAGACGTACCCTCGCGGATGGGAAGGTAAGTCAAATAGCTTTTTAGCTCCCGAAGGTGGTTTTCCCGCTCTACTGAGATTACCCCTTTAATGGTCTACAGACTCAGACATCATTTTCTCTCCGGGCTTCCCATTCTGTTCATGACCCCACTCTCCCTACCCCAGCCCTGGTGGTTGACTCTGTTTCCTCTCTGGGTCCTAGGCATGTCTGCTGCACTCAGCGGGAGGGGCACCTGGTTTCCGACACAGCCTTTGTTGGTTGGTTTGTTTTCCTTTTGAAACCAAACAGTCCTAAGGTCATCTCCACTGCAGGCAGCATCGCGGAGTTCATCTCCGAAAAGCTTTTAAAGCACTTATGAACAGAATTGAAAAGAAGACAGGGCTTGAGAGAGATGAGTTTGCGTGTGTAAACTGAATCAGAGGTATGAGGCCGCTTGACTTGTAGCAGATCCATTTCCAGCGGTAGACAGATGTGGGGTTTGTGTTTTGGGGATGTGGCTGGGCCTGTCTGGAAGAACTGGGCCAGTGTCATGCAAGGTCACGGTGTAAACGTTCTGGAAATACTCAACCCAACGGGTTTTGTTGATCCCTTTGCAGATAAACCTTCCATATAGTAAGATTCCCCTGAAACAAGACTTCCGTAGAGTCCGTTGAAATTACGTTTTATTGGTTCTAGCAGTTTTCAGTTTATTTTTTTTAAATGCAAACTATAAGACTAGGAAATATGTGATCTGTACTGTAATTGGTGTCCTCTGGGAAGGTTGGTACCACCATCAGTAAGTGCATATTCAAGACTCCTGCAGACTGATCTGAGAGGAATTCAAGGCCGCAGAAATGTTTTTCGTCTTCTGAGAGACAGGCAGCTGTGGTCTGTTCTTTCCGAGGCAGGAGGAGCATCATGGTGGTGGCAGCCAGACCCCTCACGGTGTCAGCAGGTCGCAGGGTTGACGGCCACCTTAGATGTGCTGAGGCAAGCACACCAGGCCTGGATATTAACTCCCTCTGAAATCTGAACTGAGATGTTCTTATCCAGCCGCCAGAGCTTATCGTTGCTGGCAAGACATCAGATTGAATTGTTCTCACGTGACGTAAGCTCTGTGCATAGCTTCCTTTAGATCATGCTGGAGGCTTAGGAGAATGAAGTATGCTGCACGTTTAACTTTTGAGCAGAAACTTAGAGGAACCACTGGAGAACCAATTACAGTAGAAGGTGGTTGGTCCAGAGTACTTAAGGGATAAGTATAATCCCGAGTCAGAAAGTATAATCTTGATTTAGAAATTTTGAGTTCGAGGGGCGCCTGGCCCTTGGCCCAGTTGGTGGAGCATGCGACTCTTGATCTTGGGGTTGTGATTCAAGCCTCACGGGTGTAGAGATTACTTAAAAATAAAAAAAATAAAAAGTCCTTAAAAAAAAGAAGAAAGAAATTTTGAGTTTTGAAGACACTTCTAGAATGGGGAGGGGCCAGAGCAGCCCTTAGCCTCATTCATTGTTCTTCCTGTCCGGGGCTCCGGGACAGGGTAGATGAGAAAAGCGCCCTCCAGATTGCTGGCCTTGGGCTCGACCTCCTACTACGTTTCTGTAGGAAAAACACACTCAGCGGGTGTCACTGTCTGAACCCAGAGACCAGATCCTTGTGAATAGGGAGGGGTACAGGCACCCCTCTTTTCATTGTGCTTCACAGATACTGTGTTTTTTACAAATTGAAGGTTTGTGGCAGCCCTGTGGTGAGCAAATCTGATAGGCACCATTTTCCACCAGCATTTGCTCACTTCGTGTCCCCGTCCCGTTTTGGTAATTCTCACAGTATTTGAAACTTTTTCATTATGTTCATATTTGTTATGGTGATCTGCGATCAGGGATTTTGACTCCCTGAAAGCTCAAGGTGATGGTTAGAATTTTTTAGCCATAAAGTACTTTTTAGTTGAGGCATGTACATTATTTTTTAGACATCATGCTGTCACACACTTAATGGACTACAGGGTATTGTAAACCTGACTTTTATGTGCTCTGGGAAACCAAGGAATTCATTCGATTCGCTTTAGTGTGAGATTTGCTTCTTTGCAGTGGTCTAGATGATCTCTGAGGTGTGCCCGAACTTGCATTATCTGGGTTCTGTCTTAGCACTGGACTAAGCTCCATTGTCTTATTTGTCTCATATTATGAGAGAATATGCTGACTTTCTAAATAATTGAAACATTAATTTTTGTCATTTTTATAGGACCTTCTCCGGAGTTTTTGCATTTTTGTCTTAACTTAGAAAAGCAAGGTATGAGACACAAATAGTGTGATTCCAGGAGGATGGAGGCAGGAGATGGCCCTGCATCAGCCCTGCACCCTAACTAGCACCAGGGTGAGGAGGGCCACGTGACCTGATGGTGTGCAGGGCTGCCTTGTCCTAGTGGCTTGTGCCATGACACGTGGCATTTTCCACTCTTGGGATGCCTGCCTTGTGCCAAAGGGAGGCTACAGGGGTCTCCAAGGCATGTTGCTGCATTTCTCCCAACAGCAGACCTAGGTCTGCTTTTCTCACTCATACCCGGGTCATCTGAGGCTGTTGAGGAACTTGAAATGGATGGACAGAGGCACAGATGCATTCCTTATTCATTTTCCACCATCTACTGACTGCCTCTGCCTCTTGCCAGTGCTCTCTTATCCCTTCCTCTCCTTCTTTGTCTTCTTTCTTACTCATTTTGGCTCTTCTGAGATGAGAGTCTGGCTTTCAAAGCAACCACCAGACCGGTGTGAGCCCTCAATCTAGCAGTCGTAATCTGACAGCACATCGTGTCATGCCAGAGTCAGAAAGGTTTCTGATGGCGTCTGCATTCTTGCAGGACACAGAGACATCGTTTCGCTTGCCTCATCTCTCTTGCAGTCTTTGGGCCTGGGACTTTCCTCTGATTGAGGTTACCACGGGACACCTGACTTCTGAATAAGCACGGTAGCATTTTTTGAGCCCTTCTTCCAGATAGGCCTCGTGAAGATCTCCTGAGTGATTCCAATATAAATAAGCGAGGCGCTTGCTTGACGTTATCTTGCATTTAAAAATTCTCATTATTTCTCTGTTTTGAAAAATAAAAGTATACCCAACGCTGAGCCCTAGGACACGTGTGCTTTTGGGGGAGGAGAAGTGCGTATTTTGGAAAAACCAACACAAACATTGCCACATCCCGTGCTAGCCAGTGTGAGTGATGTCATGGGTGTTTTCAGAGGTATCTGTCAGGCGTATTTTATCAAGGAATGAACGGAATAACCAAATAATCCTGTTCGGGCTCTCTTTCCTGTCCCGACGCTCAATACCTACTCTGTTTTCTACCATCTTCTCTCGCTTCTTCTCCACTCCATAATCGTCATTTCTTCTCAGCAGCTCACGGTGAAAATAGCACGGTTTCTTATTCTCCATGTTCCGCTACCCTGCCTTCCCCTGCGAATCCAGAGCTCATTAAGTCTAGAGAATTCAAAGTTCATACCTGTCCTCTGTGTGCTTCTCATACATCCTTATGTATTTGCCCACACTTACTCTATGGATACAGCTGGAAAGCTGTGCCCACAGCTAAGAATACCCAGCAGCAAGGTTTCCAGTAAGATGTGCAAGTTGTCAGTAGTTAGCTTTCCAGGTGCTCTACCCTCCGTCCTTGAGAAGGTTATTTGGAAAGAGACAGCTTACACCTGGGATGCGGTCTGCCAAGGGCACTAGCTGTGGTTTAGGGAGCTATTTTCCTCTGCCAGACTTTAAAAATCCCAGAGAGATCTAGATCTCCTTCTTCCTCACGTGTATTATGTTTCACAGTAGGATTTGGGTACTAATTTCTGTTTTTTTGTTTTTTTGTTTTTATTGGAGAGAGAGAGAGAGCACAAGCAGGGGGAGCGGCAGGCAGAGGGAGAGGGAGAAGCAGGCTTCCCGCTGAGCAAGGAGCCCGATGCGGGGCTCTATCCCAGGACCCTGGGATCATGACCTGAGCCGAAGGCAGACACTTAACTGTCTGAGCCACCCAGGCGCCCCTGCATTTGTTTCTGATGGAGAAAAACCACCTTTTGCTAAAGATAACATAATGTGTGTGTTGGCCACATGAACAGTCATCTGTTCCATTCCTTCCTCTTAAAAAAAAAAAAAAAAATCCATTAAGATTATTTGGCCAGGGAGGAGCAAAAGGAAAGAATTAGTATAGTGCCTTGCTACAGAATTCCAGTTCTATTTCTTATAGAAATCATAATTTTTTTTGCCAAAACTCTGTTTCTGGGTGATGACATCCCTTTGCCTCTCCAGATCACTGATGCTCACACTGTCCTGTTGTGCTACCATCTCCCTGAGGGCCTGGAAAGATAGAGACCGCAGGGTCCCACCCCTAACATTCATGACCGTGACCTGGGAGGTATGGAGCCCGAGAATTTGCATTTCTTAGCACATTTTTGGTGATGCTGATGCTGCTGAGCTTGGGCCCACAGATTATGTAACCTGAATGGTTTTAGACATATTTACAGCAGTCGTTGAAATAGTACATTTGCTTAATCCTACATTTATGGGAACTATAAACATGCTTACAGGTGAACATTTATCTCTTCTAAAGTTTCCTTTAGGTAGAACTCTTGGCTTCTGTTGGGTGGAGTTAACCTCCTAAAGTGCTTTTCTGTCTGTTTTTTTCAGCTGTTTAGAATTTGGTAACAGACAAGCGGCCTTTGCTCTGTGCTTCATAGAGAATGGGAAAGAGTACGGTTGTCAGA